TGAATGAGTATTCCGCAGTCGGTAGCGCCCGACTGCAACGTTCTTACTTGTTTTTTTTTCTGAAAACAGGAGTCACAGTATTTATAACTGCATTACCGCTTTTACCTCTGCCTATACTCCAAATCGAAAACATATTATAGTATATACAATTATGAGGTATAATTAATATTATAAGCATAACATATGGAAATCTTATGTTTAATATTATTAATATTTTTGTAAATACATACATACAGTTGCAGAAGAAAGCAGTCCAAACTACTCTTGTCAGCCTGTCTGTATGTATTTCCGGAAGAATAGGTGAAAAAGTGCAAAATTAAGTCAATTACCTCGTCAAATTCCACAGAGTCCTGGTGCTCGCTAAAATTTTATTTTCAATTTTTATAAAATTAACAATGCCTAAAATACTTTGTAATTTTAAATTTTATTTAAAAAAAATCATTATGAAGCTGAAATCATTTTAGTGCTTTGGATTGTTTGTCAGCTGGCTATTTAACAAAGTAATATTTAAAGACATCCCACTAAATTGGCTAACCTGTTTAGCTAACCAGTTGGGGAGTTAGGTCTTGCCATTTAGTAAGGTCAAGTTGAGGAATATCATTGCAGCTTATCAAAACATTGCTGAAAATGGGGACAAACAATGAGTTTTTTTTTCGTATGCGATAGGCGTGAGCAGATTGTGACTTACCGAGTATTGGGGAAAATGAAAACATTCGGCTGGATATAATGTAAGCTTTGCACATTATTGCAGAACAGTGAAGCCAGGCTTATTTTCCGTATCTCCGCCAGTTGACCTATGCAAACATTGATAGCATTGAGGAAGAGTCCGATTATTGTACTTATGTTTACACTCACTGCGTGAGAAGCCACTGAGATGGTTTTCGCGTTCAAAGAAGAAGCGATCGCCCCGACGAGTGTTTTGGAACTGTTTTCCGACCACACACAGCAACGTAGGGCCAAACAATGAGCCTGGTACGTGGAATTCGAGAGTACCACCCACACTCAGTTCAACATCGGCTGGGGAGGCATACAGCTTGCGCAATAAATTAATTTTCTGAAAAAAAGGATGGTCAGGCTTTGGTTGACTTAAGTCTCTTGAGGCTACCTCTCCGGATATTTCGGTGGCGAATTCCGACCATTCATGGGCTCGCCGCAGACCACAGAACTCACGAAGATCATTATACGATGGAAGTCCGAAGTCGCGGGCACGTTGGATATCTAACGACTTGAGGTCGGATCCGAACTCCTCGAACACTTTGCGATTAAAGAAGTGCTTGATCTCGCGATCGATGTTGGAGTCAGCTCGCTTTTGCAGCTGTGTTGCCATTCCACGAACCAAATCAGCGAAATTGTAGTTTGAGGACAGCAAACGAATGGTCTCAGGAGTCTCAAAGAAGTCGCTGAGCCGTAATGTCTGATTTGCATAGCGATCAGACGAAACCATTCTGCAATCGAGTGAAAAGTTAATCTATGTCACGTAAATACACAAAATATTAGTACTTACGAGAACCAGCCCGATATCTGAGTGTGCGAATAACGGAAGGCAGCAGCAGAAAACTCAGCGTAGGGATTGGGGTTAACGCTCTCGTCATAATCGTTCACATAGTCAGTTGAGTACTCTGAGTAGGGGTAAGTCAGGCCATTCATGTTCGTGTAAGCACTGCCCAGAACGGCCACCAGGTAGTCGTAGTATGTGATCTTCTGATACTGCGCAATATTGATCTTGCGGGCTTCCTGGTACAAGCGCTCATCGTTGTAGTGGGGATTCAGCAGGGCCAACTGCTCGGCCAGTCGGTTGTGCTCCCGCACCATAATCGTATGAAGTACAGCAATCGTCGGTGTGAATCGATTGCGTAGGTCGGGCATGGTGTAGCACTCACTATTAATGCCACATTCACCTTCGTGATTCTGCGTCACGGGCAACCACTGCTGCCCGTTGGCGTACACTGTCCGGAGCTGACCGCCCTTGAACAGGCGCACCCGCTGATTTTGCGCCGGAGAATTTCCATAGACTGATGACAGATCCAAGTAGGCCGTGACCACCGACAACTTTTCGCTGTAGGGCAGCCCGCTCTTGGGACAGATGCCGTCCGCGTCGGACAGCGCGCGTGCAAAGCTGAGACATGACTTGCCCGTGTTATAGGCGATGGGTCCACCCGCCGCTAATGTTATGGGCTGACACTGTGGATGACGCGACTCGGCGCAACAATCTCTGGGCGCGCCCCTTGTGGTCAATTGGCTGATGTCGTGGGCGACGAACTGGCCGAACTGCATGGAAGCCACCGTGCGAAACTTGTCCATCACTGTCTTCTCGCCGTACAGTGACAATGAGAGCAAACGTGCGTTGGGCACCGTCTGTCCGTTCTGCACGTACGCAGGCCGCAGAAGACGCTTATACCGGGAGGTCGCGATGCCGAACTCGGGATACAGCAAGTTATTGCACGAGCCATCAATGCTACGATAATGCAGGTTTTTCGTATCATTCAAACAGTTCAGGGGAGGAGCACCACATTTTATGGGCTGCTGCGATGGCTTATCATGTTCGGCCGAGCTTATCCAACTGCTCAGTCCTGGACTGATGCTGTTCTTGGGCAAAACGCTCTTCAGCAGATCGTCCAAGCCATCATACAATCCGCTGTTTCGCTTATATCGGCCTCCCTTTTCCAGCTCTGCCTTTGAAGAAGCAAGATCCAACGCCTCCAAGTGCCGAAATGGGCATCCAGCCGGTTGATCCTTCGCTATTGTCGAGCTGATCACCAGCAAAAGTAACCCGGCCACCGTAGTAATTACTCTCATTGTTATCGAAGTGAGCTAACTGTGATGCACTTTCATCACTGACACCGCATATATACTCCCGCTAGCGATCAAGATTTTCTTTCATTTCGCACGATCATCGAGCCGTGTCAGTCGTGATTTGATAGAATATTATCTTCCGCATAGCGCAGCATAACACGCACGTGCCCAATTCTTAGTTTGATGCCAAAGATTAAGTAAATGCTTAACTTTCAGATTTAAAGATAAGTACTTGGAAGCTCAGCAACATTCATTTCATTTCATTCATTTCGTGTCGCTGACGCTTTGTAATGTCAGCAAAGAAGTATTAAAATTACATACTATATAAAATTTAATATATGAAATACGTATGTATGTATATTGTATGTGCTACAAGAGTTTCCAACCTTTATTTACATTAATTCGCACAACATTAATAAACTGCATGCAGAGCCCATTGAAAGTTTTATTATCAGCGGCGTTAAAGTCGAAATCAATTTTTATAAAGTGCAGACGTCACTTTAAGACGGACAACATACATATACATTCACACGCATACATAATCAGAGCGTGTGATGCGTGATGTCTACGCTTACGCACTTAAGGTAAGAAGTGTAGAGCGTAATAATTTTTATTTGTGGATAAGTAATCAATATTCATAACTAATTAGCAGCTCGTTTTCTAGGTAACACAAACTCTTTTGCAATATCTTAATATCATCAATAAAATGAACTTAATACAATAATAACTCTATTCATATAACCTCTTTAGTTAGTGATAATATTAAATAGGAAAATTCAATTAACAAATTTTGTTTCTTTGATTCTTGTTAATTATACCCTGAACCCGCTATGAGGGTATAAAGATTTAGTTAAATGTTTTTAGCCTGTTGCTAAAGGGGGCGTTGCAGACCTTATAAAGTATATACATATGTGCATATGTATATTCTTGATCAAAGCAGTCGCTCATAGCTTGTCAGTTGAGTCCACTCGGCCCCATCTGTCTGTCAGGCTGTCGATCTGTCCG